GCTGTTTTCTCTGCTACACTCCCACTGCTGAAAAAAGTAAAGAAGCAAGAGTTATGAAAGCAACTTAGTGCCTCTTTTTAAGTCAGATTCAATCAATGAGAGGGAGGTAGTGGCAGGCACATGGCACTATACAATCTGTGCTGTCATATTCGGTCACCAGGAATATCTCTGACAGCCACTGACCTCTGTGACCAGCCACCTTCACTGCCATGAGGGAGGGATGTTCCTTTCCCACTGCCATCATAACAGAGGAAAGCAAACTGAGGCTGCCTATAGAACCAGCTTCTCCACACAGCATAAAGTTACTTCCCTAAAAACACAAACCCCAGACATTTAGACATATGGAGCGAAGTTGATTTAAATTCAAGGGAAACATCTGATTTTCCTCCCATGCTTTAGTTGTTTTAATTTAATTTTTGTGGCTGTTGTAGCAGGCATAAGTAAGTGGATGAAGGTGACAGGAAAAAGCCATGAGGAAAGAACTGAGGCTGCAGTCTTACAGCAAAGGTCCTTTCTTCCTCAGAGAGTAAAATTTCAGCCCTGCACGTCCCTATGCTTAGAAACATATAGACATAATGGCTTTGCAGGCAGAGTCTCTTTATGCTTCAGCCGATATGTATTTTCTTGGCTCAGCTGAGGAGCACAAGGATAGATAAAGTATTTTGTGCCAGCAGAGAAACTGCTCCTAGGAAATTTTGACATCTGTTTGGGGCCTTATTTTGATCTGTGTCTTTGTAGAGTATACCTGGAACTGTCTTTTCCATGGTAAAGCTACTTCTGTGCTTATATTTGAAGCTGCAGCTTTGGGGCTAAGTACACAGTATTAACCAATGTTTGCATAGTCCAAGTTTTAGAGTACATTAGGTGATGCTGTCGTTAGTTATGTTATTATTAGCACAAGGATAATGACATAGTTTTCTATTTGCCTGTCATATTAACCTCATTGGGAAAAGTATTCACCACAGAAAGACCTTTGGTGTGCCACATTTTAGTGGTTTATGGTCATTTCAGTAGTTTCAGTTGTGAGAAACAATGACTCAATGAGTACGATAGAGATCCTAAGAGATGTATATGACATTTCCAAGGATTCAGTGGACATGCACATGCTCTGTGAGATCTTACCAATCCACAATGAATTTTGAGGATTAGTTTAAGAAGTGATCAGGCGTTCTGGGTTGAAGCAACCCCCTCACCAGCTTCCTCTTGGAGGCCTGGAGATTGACCTGGGACAGCACCAGAGTGGTGACTGTGGCTGGTGTAGGAGAGGATTTCCCTACAGGGTGCATCATGGTGCCTCAGGAACTGCAGTTATATTAAGTGCACTTAAGAGTGCCCCATGTGTAATTTCTTTTTATGGGCTCCTTTGAACAAGGCTGAGAGGAATGGAGATGATTGGCATCCATCCTGGCCCAAAGGCAGTTGCAGTGCATGTAGCAGGTTGCTGCTTCACAAGCACAGGGGGAACAGAGAAATTCAAAAACTGGGCAGTAGTAAAGGTCAGCACCTCTTTCATATTTCCAATCAGATCATCAACCCAGTCATTTTCATCTGGGCTGTTTGACAACTGGAGAGAGATTGGAGTTGACATGAATTCTTGACTATCTCTTTTTATTCAGCTGAATCTTCAGAAGGCATATTTTTAAGTTTTGGCCTTTGTTGTAGGACATGAATCCTACCTCTGGTTTATAATCTTTTTCAAAAATTTCTTTAAAAGCAGATACGGAAAGGAGTTCAGTTGAAAAAAAATAAATATATTAAATAATAATTAGAGACTGAATGTAAGGTGATAAATCCAGGGCCATGTCCAGATTTACTGCAGACAAGTTGAACATGTGACACGTACTGCCTGAGCCCATGTTTCTATATGGGTTAAAAATAATGCTGTGATAAGACCTTTGCACGAAAGCTTACTTGGCTGGCCGTGTAGGTCTGTGGCTCCACTGAGGTATATAGGCATATTCATCAATGTCCCCTTCAAAGAGGATAGAAATATTCACATGCTGGATGTTAAATGTGGGAAAGTTATGTGCTGTGTGCCTCAGGCTAACTCATTGAAAAAGAAATTGCAGGGGACAAAGCTGTGGACAGCTTGAATTTTTATTTAACATACAAACTGGAAATATATATGCTGAAAAGCAGAATGAGCTGCTGCTCAAATCCAACCTACCTTGATGAAGTTCTTAAGAAATGTCAAATAGATTATAAAACTCGGGGTTGACCCTGCCAGGAAGGTGGTGCAGGAAAGTAAAGGAGTGACGGCGTTTCTGAGCCCCCCTCAGAAACCAACCAGGATCTGCAGCTTTTTCACCCCCTGAACACCGACTAGAGGAAAACCTCCTAGTGGTGTCTCAGCCCAAGCACCAGCCAGGGGGTCCAATTCCTCATGTGTAGCCCCCACCCCCTGTGCCCTTACTGCAACAGCAGCTGCTGTCCAGGACCCAAGCTGGCAGGGGAGAGGGAATTGCTGCTGAGACACGAGCTGAGGAGGGACCCATTGATGCATCAGCAAGGTGACTGGAAATGGAGACTCCCATCAGATCAATACTGATCAATCAAGCTTTAATACTCAGAGACTAATGGAGATTACTGAAGATTTCTGAGTAAGTTAACCCACCATCAAAGAAGTCATGCAGATAGTCAGCAGAATAATTTGATTTGATTGTCAGGCTATGAAGATAATATCTCCCTGTGGTTTTGCACCTGAGAATGTACGTTTTCAAAACCTATTTTCTAGCTTTGTTCCTTCTGTTTTATCTTTCTGTTCTTTCACCCTTATGCTTTGGGTGTACACTGAAGCAAAACCTCTGTCAGATCTTCTCCTTTATCAGCTGTAGGAGGCTACATATACAAATAAACTAAACATCTAGTAATCAGTGCCAGCATTCCTAGCCATTTCTAATTATGTTCTTTCACAATTACATTGTTCATAAATGCCATCTCTAATTAAAATATACTAATAACTTGAAACGGATGCATTTTCTGGCTTCCCCTACTCTGTTAGTGTTAATAAAAATTAAACAGAGTTTCTCTTTCTCTGTATTCTTTAACTTATTCATGTTCCTGGAAATTAATGCTGTAAAATACTCTCTCAGCTGGCTATATTTTATAAGAAAATCCCTGAAATAATCATGCTAACATGCCATGCTGATAAGCATACAATAAGCATCTGCAGAAGGACCTTTGCATTAACTAAATTTAATACTTTGATATATTATTAATTTCCTTCTGCATTTCTCTTCCTTAAGATTTAGTGAAGATTTTCAGTTAGCTAGTGTTTCTGTCAATAATCTATATCTGGTCAGTTAGACTGTAAATCAAGCTATTTCAACAACACTGTTTTAGTAATCTGCCTTCTGTTTTATTACTGCAATAGCTGTAGCATCATATTTGTTTAAGTGCCATGATTTTCTTGACCTGAAATTATGATCTGGTGCTGGAAGGTTGTGCTTTGTAGTATGACACCACTTAATTCCCAGTTTTAGAGTGCAAGTTAAAGAGATGTTAAGCAAGCCTTAAAAATACTGTGTCTGGCCACTGCAGCTGCATAGCTGGATTAAAGGGGAGCTGTAGAGTTTGAAGAATAAGTGATTAAACAGCAAACTGTTGAGCAAAGTGTCTGTAGTACATGAAAGGAAAAATCATCTACACAAGACATCTGTATGAAGGAACATCTGCAAATGACAAAATGTCCAGATACAGTCTTTATAAAAATAAGTATAAATAAATGGAAATATGTATGTAATTATATTTACATGTATATACATGCATCTATAGATATAAATATGTTTATGTATATAAAATATACTCAGAGATATGTAGACACAATCATACCTACATAGAGGGAAAGAGTAGGTGTGCTGAGCAGGATATTGAATATAATCAGACGTTGAATTCATGCTTATCCTGCAAATGAAGCAATTACCCAGCTAAAACAGTGCAGGACTGATAGATTCCTCCTTCAAATGTTGAGCCTTAGGATAATGCAGACTGTAGTAAGCGGGGAATCATGAAGTGTCCCTAGAGCATGGCTTTTGGCCGACCAAGGGGGTACCAAATGCACCTCAGGCAGTGTGAGGTAGATCCTGAAAGAAATATCCTACAGTTTGTAATTTGTATGATGATGACCCTAAATACTAATTTAGGAAACCTGTAGATATTCCTTCCTAATTATCTTTTTTTTTTCTACCATGTTTCTTACATGCATATGTGAGTTCTGGTTTACTTGGAGTGTGAAGCTCTGATGTTTTCCATTCTTCTAATTACACACAACAACTTCAAATAAGTTTGATTCTATGATTTTCTTGGATTCTAAAGTACAATTTTCTGAAAGGCTGAAATAATGAAAGACAAAATTTCAAATCAGAAATGTCTTCTACATATCTAGCATAGCAAGAAATAATTTTTTTTCTGCAAGAAACTCAGTTAGTAGTTCTGGCTACTTAATCTGAGTGCATTGAGTTAGGGACAACTCTTGCCAGCTACACCACCAAATAGCAATTAAAATAGGCAATATGCTCTTTGTAGCTTGACCAAAAATAAGCTGTGGCTTGCAGGAGGCTAGCACACTCACAGCTTGAAATGTGTGGCAAAATCTCAACCCAGTTTCCTTCAATACTATTCTGTGAAAGCTGCTGTACGCTTTTGAAGAGAAGTCTATGATTGCACTTCCTGTCTTAATGCTATTTGGACACATATTAATGTCATTAATATTAATTTACATGTTAATGTCAGGCAGCACTGTGCTTTGTTGGGTCGATTGCAAATTAAATGAACTCATGATCAATACACGTGAAACTGAATGGACCCATGACAGGTGGCTCTGGTTTAAAATGAGAAATCTATTGAAAACATTGAAATTTAAAACATCAGAAAATAAATCAGTCTTGAGTAAAGGAGGCTTTCATTTGGGTTTTTATTTCTGAATGAAAGGGAAAAGCAGGAATACAATGCCTGAATGTTGAGGTCAATAAACTATTTCCTTTTTTGTTTGTTTTTTTTAGGTATAAAGCTATAGTAAGGCCAATGGAGATCCAAGCATCCCATGCACTGATGAAGATCTGTGTGAGAGCTGCTATAATCTGGATTGTATCCATGTTGCTTGCCATCCCTGAAGCAGTGTTTTCAGATCTGCACCCTTTCCATGACAAAGGGACTAATAAAACCTTCATCAGCTGTGCTCCTTACCCTCATTCAGATGGACTGCATCCCAAAATTCATTCAATGGCATCATTTCTCATATTTTATATCATTCCCCTATCTGTAATTTCAGTATATTATTATTTTATTGCTAAGAATTTGATCCGGAGTGCTTACAACATCCCCGTGGAAGGAAATGTGCATGTGAGGAAACAGGTAGAGATTTGACTTTCTTAAAAAATCCACATTCTCTTTGAATCTGGGAGGAAAGATGGAATACAGAGAAATTTATACCGGAACAGACTGCATTTGTTGTGCTAATTTTAATAGATTACTTGGGGTAAAAGAATTAAAATTATTGAAAGAAGCCATGACACGGGGCTAAACAGTTAAAGCATCACCTCCTGTTTCTAAGTTCAGAGACTTTGGCAGAGTGGTTACCATGGCAAGCATAGCAGGAGACCCATGCCAAAGCCAGGAAAGGTATTGACTGGGATGCAGGGAAAGACGCAGAGCTGGATACAGTGTTTGGAGATTGAATCAGAGGGGTGGCATGGGAGAAAGTCAAAACTTCTGAAAGTTGTTTCATCAGAGAGAGGACCTTGGATAAAGCCTTGCCTGTTTCTAAACAGCTTATTGACCTTGACATATTTATTTTATTTGTCTCACCTCTTCCTTTCAACTGAGGTGTGCTTCAACCTCAGCTAAACCGACACAAGCTGTTCTTCAGCTGAACAATTGTCCACAGAATTGCACCCAGCTGACACCTCCACCTTAGGCTGACCCAACACAATCGTGTCACATAGCTTTCAGGTGCTATGTTGAAGCAGTAGGCCTGGAAAGACTTGGGTTTTGCCCATCAAATAAGGTGCAATCTCTGAAATCCTTATCCTTTTCCCCTTCTGAATGTGCATAAATCTTTCTCTCCTGCAGGTCATTTCTCTGCTGATCCGATGGCTGTTTTGATTAGTGACAATAAAGTGAGCAGTAAAAGCAGCCCTTTCACCCTTTGGTTTTGGGGAGAGAGCTCTAAAGAAAGCAAAAGGCCAGGCTGCAGTCTAGCACCCTCAGTCCATCATTCCTGTCCTGCAGTGCATTCAAGAGCTATAGGTCTCCATCTGAGATAACTGGTATCGATTTCTTTATTGCATTGCTTCCTTTCTTCATAGTGCAGATGTGGCCTCAATAGCCCTATATCAAATTAAGCATACATTTAAAAAGAATATATGGTTAGCCAAGGAGAGCCCTTTCTCAAAGGATTTAATTTTCAGCCCCGCTCTCTGGAGACATTGTCACCTGCTACATGTCAATCCTTCCTAAGCTCAATGGCTGATTTTCAGTCAGTACCATTAAAAGGGCACCAAATAAAGTCAAAATGGGCTTGTCAGGTCTCTCCTGCCTGCTTCCTGGTTGCAGCTGCCCTGAGGAAAGATCGGCCTGTGTAAGATGCTCAGTTTCTGATTTACCTGTGCAGCTTGGAAGGGGAGGTAGGATAGGAAAGTGTCCCCAGAGTCTGGCCAGGCACTGTAGCTGCACTGGGGCAGGAGCAAGGGCAGTGGGGCTGGGGCTATACGGCAGTTTCAGGTCATCCGGGTCCTACTTAAATACAGGGAGTGGGATGCAACAAATTCCCTAGGAGCACCTGTAAAGACTTGCAGGGATTGCCAGAGAGAAGAACATTACTAAGCCCTAAAAAGTCAGCAGTGTTATACTTTCCAATCCTGCAAACTCTGGCTACAAACTCTGGCTGCTCTCTCCCAGAGAGCAGTACATTTCTGAGCAGCTCTGTCTGTCCTCTCCTTTTGGGCAACCTCCATCACGGCTTTTGTGTTCATTAGGAAGAGAGATCACAGAATCAACTAGGTTGGAAAAGACCTCTGAGATCATCTAGTCCAACCTATGACCTCACACCACCTTGTCAACTAGACCGTGCCAAATCCAGTCTTTTCTTAAACACCTCCAGGGACTCCACCACCTCCCTGGGCAGCCCATTCCAATGCCCATTCTTTCTGCGTAGAACTTCTTCCTTAATGTCCAACCTGAACTTCCCCTGGCACAGCTTAAGACCATGCCCTCTTGTCCTATTGCTGGTTGCCTGGGAAAAGAGACCGACTCCCCCTGGCTACAACCTCCTTTCAGGTAGTTGTAGAGAGTGATGAGGTCTCTCCTGAGCCTCCTCTTCTCCAGGCTAAAAACCCCAGCTCCCTCAGCCACTTCTCTGTGCTCCAGACCCTTCACCAGCCTCGTTGCCCTTCTTTGGCCTAGTGTGCAGCACTTGTGGACAAAAGACAAGGTATGGTTTACCTCAGCTCCCCTCGGTTGAGCAATACCTTTGGGTTGACTCCAAGCATGTAGAAGTAAGTAAAACAAAAGTGCATCCTTTGTGTATGAAGGTTGTACTGCATGTTAGGTGGCTTTGTAAAAGCACCTTTCCCTGACGAAGCTCAAATTGTGCTCAGAGGTGTTCATCCATCTATTCGGCACCTCTGTCTGTCTTCTCCTGGTGGCTCCAGTGCTTTCAGCTGAAGGGTCCACCTTGCCACTGCCTCGGTGTTTCCCCAAGTACAGAATATCCTTTCTCTGTTTCTCCATCTCCTTCAGACTCTGAGTGCTGCACTTGATCTCAAAGGGCTGTGAGCTGTTGACAGCACTTTTGTGTACATATACCGCATGGCCCCATGGCAGAATGTCCTGCATCTGGGCTCTGTGAAAAATCCCAGGCTCCTACTCAATAATTAATTATAATAATAGTAATAATAATAAAGTAATATATTAAAATTGCATATGATTGTATATATTATATGTGGATAACTAATGCAAATGTCCACACTTTTGTTGCCTGAGCTGGGATTTTGCAAACTGACAAGTCAATGGAATTTTGTCTCTAAACAGGAAAGACTATTTCTTATGTAATAAATTTCCAGAATTATTTGGTTTTGAGGGAAGGGAGTTGAGGAGAGATGAGGAGAGTTCTTGACTCTGTTCACCTGCAGTCCAGACTTCCCTGCTCTGCACATGCCACCTGCCATGGGCTAGCCCCAAAGCTGCAGTGCTGGCAAAAATTGTCAGCTACCGGTCTGAGCTAGGAATAGCAGCTAATCTGCATCTCTCTTTCTTCTTCCAGATTGAATCCCGTAAGCGCCTGGCCAAGACTGTACTGGTCTTTGTGTGCCTCTTTGCCTTCTGCTGGCTTCCCACTCACATCATCTACTTATACCGGTCCTACCACTACTCCGAGGTGGACACCTCAGTGCTGCATTTCATTGCCAGCATCTGCGCCCGGATCCTGGCCTTCACTAACTCTTGTGTCAACCCATTTGCTCTCTATCTGCTCAGCAAGAGCTTTCGGAAACAGTTCAACAACGAGCTGCTCTGCTGCAGAGCTCGCCTCCTCATCCGGTCCCAGAGCATGGCCAGGAGCACCACACGAATGACCTCCCTCAAGAGTACCAACCATTCCCTGGCCACCTTCAGCCTTATCAATGGCAACCACCTTTACCATGAGGGCTATGTCTAAAGGGCACAGTCAGGCACCACCGTATCGTGTACTTAGCACGGCTGCTTGACTTTGCTCCAGGGGGGTGGTGAGTAGCACGCACACGAAGGCACACATGGATGCACGGAGGTCTGATGTGCTCAGAGAACTCAGAGGAGCTTGAAGCATCTAACATTTCATCTTGGACTGAGGTTGAAGTATCCAGCATTTCACCCTGGACTGAGGCATCATCAGAGCATCAGATCATGGAGCACCAGCCCACAGGAGCTCCCTGGGAAGTGCTGCAAGAAGTTGCTTCAAGACCTGCTGCTTCTACTGAGAGCAAAATGAGCACCTTAAGATCAAATATTGTTTAGCTCTGCAGAATCTTCATCACTTTCTGCTCAATCCCAAACTCATGCAGATTTACAGCAGTGACAAAGATCATATCAGGTGCACACAATTTGTCAGAGCAGTTTCATTCATTAGTTCATGGTAAAATATATTTTGACATAGAAATAAATCCATTTAAATAAGATAAATACTTTTACAAAGGAGTTCACTGCAGGTCATTTACAGACTTTTCAAGTATTTATTAATGTTCTGAGTACAGTATTAATTCATGGTATAAAATGTTTCAACAGTTTACTGGGGCATGTCAGTGGCCCCATCTGAAATGAATAGTATCTCGCACCACATCAGTGTGAAAGCAGTAACATGAATAAATGTGAGTTGGAATATGTTTAAAGTTTTCAAATGTGTGAGCTGTTGCCATGTTGTGGAGGAGACAGCAGGGTGATTTCCAAACATTACTGTTTTGCTATTTCTGTCTTCAAGGTGTGAGATAGTGAGTGTTTCATCACCTAAGGGGTACCACAAAACTTTAGTTGGGTTTGTTTAACGGTGGGCAGTAACAGAAAATCAAGTACAGCTATTTTTCATGTAGTAGTGCTTTGTAAAACACTCTTTCAGTAAAAGCTATCAGCAATGCAAGGTCTGATCTCCAACCCATATTTTTTTCCTTCTATATTCACAAAATTCTGTGGAGACAGAGTGCCAAAACTGGCTAACAGGTTGGAGAATCAGGTCTTCTGTAATGTTCACCCCAGAACAGTTCCTGTGCCAGGTACCATCTATTCTGGAAACAGGAGCACAGTGTCCTGCAGATAACAAACTCTTGAAGCATGTGGGCCATAGGACAGGCAATGAAGCTGCACACCTGATAAAGAAAACTGCTGCCAAATGAGGCTATAAACCAATCACTGTAGCAGAATATTGAGTTTTTAATGGCCCTCATCCTCTTTGACGATGATCCTTTTCATTACCACAGCAAAGGATAAATGAAAGCTAGTAAAACTTTGCATTGCGTTTGCTCTGTATGTACAAAAAATCTTGTGTGCAGTGTAAAAGCATTCAGCCCTGCATCTGCAGCTGCTTTGGGATGCTGGCGGGAGCTGCTGTCTCCAAGGACTCAGAAGGGCTATGTTGCCAAAGGCAGAGCTCTGAAAACTTCAACCGATTTTCCCTTTTGCCCTCTGGGTGAGGTTCCACACACAGGTAAGTGAGCTCAGGATGTGGCCACACCACTGTGCTGATGTGCTGCTAAGGGCTATACTGCCATATTCCCCACCACCCCCGGACACTACCACCTGTGTCGCCCCCTGTTGCAGTTGTAAGTGTCCCCCCACCCCAATCAGCCTAAAAACAAATGTGATAGGATTATTTTACAGGTGAGAGTCAATTCCCTTGCTCAGCTGACTCTGTCACTGTGGTATTAATTTCAATTTACTGAGCTATCTGATATCCTCATGTACTAAAATTTTCAGTGCTTTCCCTAATCTTTAACAAGAAGCCACATATAGTGTCAGAAGACCAGTCTGTGACCATTTCAGAGAGCTTGGTCAAGCTTTGAGCTGTTTATGACATTTCAAAATGAGCAAAATTCATCTGACCTGAGGTATTTTTACTAAATATTTTCTTCAGACTTGTAAGAATTTCATCAAATGCAAGCAGGAGTTAAATACTTCAACAACGGCCACACCAACTGTGCTACACAATGTGTCCTCTGTTCGATAACAAACAAGAGATTATTGTTGCTCACCAAGAGACTTCAAAAGTTGCTGAATTTTTTTTTCTGAGAGAAGGGGCTATAATCATAAATTATGAATCATAAAAATGAGAAAATCATAAATATGGGGAAAAGAACATTGTTATAATGCTTAGGGCTAAGCTGAACACTGACCCTGCCTCCCCGAGAAAGATGCTGTTTTGAACACAGGAGAGTTATGAAGGTACAGCACCCTAGATTTAAATAAGTACTACCAAGTTTACCCTTTTCTTCCTAACGGAGCTTGTGACTCCTCCAAGGACAGGAAAGATGGTTATGGCTTTGATCTGGAAAGTGCTTTCCAGAAATGCAGCTGCAAGTGTCCACATGTGTCACAGCCTCACTGTTGCTTAATTTACTCAGTATTATTTACTGGGGGACTTGGCACTGCTGGTTGGACTTAATGATCTTAGAGGTCTTTCCAACCTTAATGATTCTGTTATTCTATCATACCTTTTGACTTTCTTTTTGAGGCTGATAGGCATAAATTTAGGGGGAGTTCCATGCAATCATTTCATCAGAATCTAAGATACCTACAACTTCTTTTAATAATTAGCAAATTAGATCAAGTTTTCTTTTCAAACAAAATGTCAGTTTTCATTAACATTCTTCATTTTATTCAGATCCTTGCCCCTCTGTTTAATATCTTTAAGACAATTAGGTGGTTCTGTGAAAAAAATCCATTGAAAAAGGTTCCTTGCAAAAAGTAGTCTGAAATGTATTTCACAAACTTGCATTCTTTTTCCAATACGATTGGAAGAGCAAAACTGAGGTTAGAATTGTTTCTGTCTCACCCTCATATTAAAATAATGAAAAAAATACAATGCAACAGTTGGGGTCAGGGAAGGAAGATTCAAGAAAGTTTTCTGAAATATCCTAGCACGTAACTGAAATATTTGCAGCTGCAATTTTGTTGTTGTTTCTCACTCCTTGTCTCATTACCTTGGTTTCAAAAACACGATGTACTTTGCACTGCTGCAGCAGTCTGATCCCTTATCTTGAGCTCTCGCAGTGTTTGCTGGCACAGCTGCAGTGCTGATTCTTTCAATTTGGAGTGTTGTCCGCAGCGTTTCATTGGATAAATTTTCAAAGTGCCCAAGATAAAACCTGTCCCCACGATATAACCCAAGAAAACCTGTGCCCAGGATATAACCCTGGCAGGTGACTCCAGCACTGTGCCCTCAGGTACTGCCAGGTCCTGGGAAGCTTTGCAGTCCTTGGTGGGGAGGGTCCCTGGCTGTGACCCTACGGTGGCTCTGCACCCAGTTCTCAACTCTGCTCTCTCCATCAGCACTGGGAGCATTACAATAGTGATTCAAACCACGTGGTTTAAGGAATGCTATATTTCAATGCTTTGAAAGACAGTGTCCCTGAAATGCCTGGCTGCTGGGAGACTGAGGAATTTTCTGGCTGGGTCCACACAGACACCTTTATAACTGGACACGTGAAATTCCCTTTGAACCAGATATTCCTTTGGGTTCACTCTGCTCTGTCGTGTCTGGCATGTGGCAGTTGTGTCATGTTCCACTGTATGCAGGTTGTGTGTGGGAAAAATGGTCTCTGGGTCAGAATACTGTATGTTACACCCTGGGGCAGTATTGCTGTTTACTACAGTCAGAGTTATTAGAAACACGTAGCTGCCATTAGCTGAATTGGTGTGAAGTGCAAAACTAATATTGAACAGGGATATATCCAGTATCTGAAGGGGGACTACAAGGAAGCCAGGGAGGGCCTCTTCAGCAGGAACTGTAGTGAGTTATGGTATTAATGGGCTCAGACTGAAAGAGTTAGGTTAGATATATGGAAGAAATTCTTTACTGTGAGAGTGGGGAGGCACTGGAGCAGATTGCCCAAAGAAGTTGTGGATGCCCCATCCCTGGAAGTGTTCAAGGTCGGGTTGGATGGAGCTTTGAGAAACCTGGTCTACTGAAAGGTGCCCCTGCCAATGGCAGAGGACTTGGAACTAGGTGATCTTTAAGGTTCTTTCTAACCAAAGCCGTTCTATGATTCTATATTGAGTTGTGTCCATGCTTATATTGAGTTATGTCCATGCTTTCTCAGGAGAAATTAAATAGGATAAAGAATTGTTCTTCATTAGGAATTTAAATTTTCTGAGACTCCTGAATTCCCTTTGCTCCCCTTGAATGCAGTGGGAGAAGATCCGAAGTAAATCACAGCTTTCAGCAGTTCTTGCTTTAGTTTAGGATTATTCAGTGCAGTTTGGCTCAAAATTTTTTTCTTCTAGGATTGGAAAATCACCACAAAGAACCAAAAAGTAGAGAAACTTTCTAATACTGACACCAGGTAAAGAATTCTGAATTCCTCAGCTCTGTCCATGAGGGGCATTTGTGTTGCAGTGTTTCCAACTATTGCTTTTTAGGAAATGTTTAAATATGAAAAATCAAAGGAGTGTGTTTCTGCTGCATGGCCATAATAGTTGTAAGCAAGAAAACATACCAGATGGTGGAAAGGAAGAGTTGTACTTTTAAACACAAATATTTATTTATTAAAATATTTTTTTAATTCAAATATTTGTTTTAAAAAATCGATCAAATAACATATAAAGTAATTAATTTCTTTTTTTAAAGAAACAAACAAACAAACAAAAATTCAAAGCCTCTTTATTCACCTAACAAGAAAACAGGAAATCTGTTACTGATACGTGTAATCCCGATTCTCCCAATTAGCTTGATTTGTGTGGAATGAATGTTATAGTTAAAACCCAGAAACATTATATTTTTATGCATGGTTTGGCAGAAATAATATACCTTCTTGCTCATTTTTCTGACAAATTACATTTTTTTTTTTTGAGTAGAAAACCATCTGTGTGTATTCAGTTGGGAAAAAAAGCCTCGTCTTTCAGCCTTCTTTAAAGGCAAGAAGTTCAGAGCTGCTTATCTGAGCCGTAAGCAATCCCCTGAATGTTAACTGCATGGCTCATCGTTAGTGCTAGGCACCATGATAACAGGGTAGCTTATCCTCTCCACTCTAGGAAGCCGCAGCAGGTAATGGGCCTGTATCATTTACCATAAATCATTAGAGATTACTGATCTTGTCCTTTCTAAGAGGAAGAAGGCAGCAGTTCAAGGATGCAAGGAAATATTTAGATGGCATTATTCAAACCTGAGAGTTTTCTGCACCTTTACTGAAATATTTGTGCTACCCTTACTCCATTTCTTTTTTTTAAATTTGTATGATACCATCTTTATACCTGACACTGTCTTTTAAGCCTGAAAGACATGCATGGAAGATAACTGATTTGGGTCTTCTGTAAATTGGTATTTATTTAGGAATAGAAAAGTTGTTGTTGGGCTGTAAAATGTGTTTTAGCTTGGGTAGCTACAGACAGCCCTCAGAAGCGAGTTGAGCCAGCCTGCAGCTGGGGCTCACAGGGGATGTTGAGCTGGACAAGCAGCACTCGCTGCAGCCCTGCCCGGCACACGGTGTGTCTCGCGCGTGGGCTGTACAGCCAGACTGCTCCCCTCACTGCCCTGTGCCAGATCTGTGACCACACATCTCTTCTGGGAAGACCACCTTGTCCCTAACCTCTCTCTCTTCCCATAAGAGCTGGCAAGGTTTTCCCCCTGCCATCCTGCCTGCAGCTGTGGCTGTAAGTAACTGAGTGGGCGGAATGCTC